ATACAGATAACTTAGCAAAGGCGATTAGTTGCGGACGAAAGCTAGGTTATCGTTGGTTCTTGAAATGAGTGATACGCGAACAGCACTATTAGTGCCTTCAGGATGTTAATGCACTAGTTGTAAACTGGTTCTATTATATTAACGCTAAGCTATATCTTCATATTGTAGCTAAGTGATTAGCCTTTGCTTGGTATACGAGCATAGCTCGTTGTGGCGTGCGAAAGGGTGCTTACTTCTCATTTAGTACGCATTGTTGGTATAGTACATGAAGTACACCAATACAATGGTGCGATTTAGCAGTATATACTATATTGAGCCCGAAGCTGTCCACTCCACGAAGCGCAAAAATTGTTGTGTCGTCGGGTTACCCTTTCGAGATCCGAACTGAAATCCCGGAAGCGCAGTATTTGTTTGTATTAACTCTTTTAATCGGCATAGCAGAACAGATTATATATATTTTACCCATTGCTTAAATTAGGCTACTTGAACGATTTTGCTAGGCTCTGGTGAAGCACGCGGAGTCTTAGGTAGCAATACAACAGTGACTAGTGGCTATTTAAAAACGTTTTGAGAATCAGTCAAGGGGCATTGCAGGAGTTTGTAAAACAAGAGAAGTGCTTAACCGCCACAGGCGGCAATCTTTCAGCATTTCTTTGGTAATGCCGTCGGGGCTGGGTGCTCCCCATTGCGAGACCGCAGAGATTATAATAGCGATCTCACAAGCTGTCGCTCGGTTTAACCTGTCCATTGTTAGCAGTTAACGGGGGCCGCGATTTCTTATCTTCGTCCCCTAAGGTAGCCCAAGCTAGAGGAATACACTGAGCTTCAAGGTGGTCGGCAAGGAGCATCGTCTTATTATAGTCGCTTTCAGACATAATCACGAAGCTATTAAGCGGTGAAATTGATGGCGGCGGTTTTTTAATTCGTTTAACTAAGTTCCAAAAAGATGGTCTTCCTACGTTAGCTGCTACAGAACGTCCCGCAATCTGGCCTCCCTGCAACTATCATGAAAAGCGGTCAACTCTTGTCTAAGGCATCTGTGAAGGCTGTAGAGCATTAGTTTGTCAACGGTGTTTTGTGTAGTGACTAGGCGTATTAACCGGTGGCGTTGACGAATGTCCTATAAAACGGCTATATCGAGTATGTCCAAAGTTCCTGTTTTTGATATGTGCGTCCGAAGTTGAGGAGCCAGCACTCCCGTTTGATTTTTCAATGCAGTTGGAATAGCCACGGAGAATGGCGGGCATGCGACGTTAACTTAATTTATTCTATCCAGGTCACTTATTAGTAGCTGCCGGTCGGGAGGTTTGTAGACCAATACAAGTCGGCGCAAACTACTCGAGATACGTATTACGTAAATATTAATTTAGAGCATTGAAAATAAAGACAAATTATATAATAATTTCAAAACTAGAAAAAGAATATAAACAAGAGATTTAGAGTAAAGTAACGGTAAGTACTATATAAAACGCCTTAGTACAAAAACAAAATCAACGCTAAAAACGTACTAATAGAACGGATATACGTGAATAAACACAAAAACGACCATACACAGTTACCTCACTTATACCAAAACTTCCAATCAAAATTAACCAAAAAACAAAAAACGCTCTTACAAAAATAACGCATTTGAAGCAAATAAGTTACATAAAAACAGTATATACTATTCAGTAAATAACATTAAACAAATTGACAACAAAATATTAGCAAAGTGAATAAAGTTGAAAATATTTTATAGGAAAACAAAACCCATAACAGAAAAAATCTATAACATCCGATGAGCGAATCTCACTTTTTCTGAACTAATTAAAGATGCATAAAGACCATAAACAGCGAACAAATTAAAACCAAAAAAAAAGAAAAATATACTACAAATGATATTATTCAGAGGGATAAAACTTCGACAAGCATAAAAATAACAGCATTCTATAAGATATAGACAAATCTAAGTTTTTTTGTAGGGGTAAGTACATAGACTAATATATCAATCAATCGACAGTTGATCAACATAGTAGTCATGCTGACTTTTTTCTCCGCTTTTTTATAGATTAAACTGGACAATAAAATATATATATATATATTTAACTGAGCTAAAACAGAAGAGTAAAGGTTAAAAGTAAGACAGGACCTAACTGTAACAAAAAAGTAGTTTTTTAAGATATTAATCACTTGGTTATCTTTAATGTTCTTTAGGAGTGCTTCTCTAGATACTAAAAAAAAAAAATTAATAACCGCTTCATATTGTGTTTCTTTTTTTTACGAAAAAGTAAACGACTTTCTATGTTTATTTGTGTTGCTACGTTAAAACTACCACTGTCAGAGTAGTATTTAAATGTAGAAAAAAAATTTTTAAGACCAAAAATTAAATTTGTATTCCCGACTTTTAATATTTACTTAGTCTTTATAGTAAATTAACAATCAAAATTTACTGAAGTTAGCTATCAACGAGATTCTATTGAGTATTAAGCAGAAATTTTGTCAGGTTAGAGTTTGCAGTTATAAATTTATAGGTAAATAGAATTTTAAGTAGAATTTACCCTTACTTACCAAAGTAGGCCTTAATATGATTGTAATAAATATTATTTTCAATTATAGAGTATATAAAATAATCATTTGTAGCAACAGAGGAGTTTTAGGGGAACTTGGATAATCAGACACTGCCACCACTGTTAACTTAAGGGACGATACCAAAAGACAAATCTCCTCGGCAAAGTATGTAAATGTGCGGGAGACCGCTTTACATTAAAGTGCAGCTAACCGAGATACTGCCGCTTCTTCTAAATCTATATAAAAGAATGTAAATTTTACCTTAGAATTGCTTAAAATAAAGTTAAAAACATAACAAAATCCTAACAGTTCTTAAAAGAACTAGAGATAAAGTTCCCATCAAATTTCAACGAACGGAGTTTTGTAAGTGGATGTTAACATAGGCGATTAATGTGTAATTAATTAGCAAATGATAACGAGCCTAAAATAAAATTAAAAAAAGAATTTAAAAGCACACCCCTACTGCCTTCATTTTCGACTATTAGTAAACTGATCACCTACTTTATTTAATAAAATTTCTAAGCGAAAAAGTAACAACCTTAATGTAGAAGTGGTGAAACGGCTAGAATTTGCCCACACAAGCTTTGAGATTGTTCTTATTTCCGAGAGGCACTCGAAGAAACGAGTTTAGCCTTTATGTAATTTTAAAATGTTCAGCACTCCAATATAAAGCAGAAAAAGGATGTGGGTGGCATTCACTGTGGTATGACCGAAACCTAAATTAGAAATAAAGTAAGTCGAGGCTCCCTGCCGTAGGAGAAAAGCTGAGCGTTAAAGAGGTATTATTTTATCTCTGCTTGGGGGGTTGTACACCTAACTACCAGACCAGAAAAAAATGCGAGTTGGCACCGACGAGAACCGAACCGATGACCTTGAGCTTGCACGACTAAGCCCCAACCACTTAACTACAGCGAGAACTGACACTTCCAGCTAATAAATTACGTATACAACTTATGTAAGATTTGACTGGCAGTAATGCTGGTCGGTGTTTCAGGAGATTTAAGGGCAGCCACTCCGGATGGGAAATTTGTAATTTTTCACCACTTTCGGCTAGAATGCGGTAGTTCCGAAGGCATAAGTCTTGGTACCCTTAAAAATGAAAAAAATAAAACATCTAATTATTTATTTCGGTAACATTTATTTCACCGTTTCATTATAATGTGATGTGTTTCAAAATTATACGGCGTGAAAGTAGAAAAGCCCTATACCCAAATTAAACTATTTTCTCTTGTGCTGGCCCAAAATCGTCTTTCCGGCGCGTGAGGTGGAAAAGCTTAAACCGTGAGGGCGAAGATGGATTCTAAACGATCTTTAACAATTTCAAGCCATATGCCGTTTCTCTCAAGATGGGTCCGTTTTAACAGGATGCGCCTTTAAATTTTGTATATGCGGTCGCTAAACACAATTTATACAAATATGCAATAAATAATCGGGGTTACCTAACTAATCATCTGGGGATCTAAACTTGCTATAAGTTGGCCTATATGAATATATAGACAATTTTTTTTTAATTGGCTTCTTTTACTACAGATCTACAAGGTTTTCAAAATAGACATGCCCACCTTCAATAAAAATGACCGCAAACCACGTAGTAATCTGACTTAAATAAGTTTATTACATTGATTGCGTGGGAGCAGTAGAGCCAAAAAGCTTCTATTAATTTGCGGTAGTACATGAACATATAATTATTACGCACTTATATTCTTTTTAACTGAACTTTAATTATTCTCGTAATAGGTTACCAGCCTTCTAAAAGTACAGCAACTCAACTTCAAGTGGCAAAGACAGCGTGTTCGCTCAATATCCGAAAAATATAAATGACTAAGCTTAGAAGGTATACGTATATCAAACAATTATGGGGCATTACGGGGGCGGCGGTCTCGCGTGCTACACGGTTTTATAACAGTTACCTCGCTTCGTAGCAATTCTTAAAAATATATTCTCGTGACTTTGAGTTTTTAAGTTAAATAATTAACTAAGTAATGAATATACCTAATATTTTGTAGGCATGAAAGTAGATATATAGGTTATTATTAAATTGTTTTATATTATCTTTTTTATATATCTGTCTTATATTACCTTATCACTTTCTTTTTAAGTTGTTCTGGTTCATTTAAATATTTAATACGTACATTAAAAGGGATTTTATAAACGAAATGCCGTAAGGAGTACACGACGCACGCGTCAGAAGGTTAAAGTAAGTAAAAGCTGTAGCGACACGAACAGTGCCACTGAACTACGTAGTTTACTTTAAGACTTCTGGAGACCAAAACTTGTTTAGCTTTTTCAATATAAGCCATTGTTTAAAAAAAATTTCCTTAGCTTGCTAATTTTTCCAAATGTTTATCGCCTACTATTTAGGCGTTTGTAACAACTCCCAGACGTGTAGTTGTACTTCTAAACTATTAAGATAATTAAAAATATATAACCAAAGTATACTGACGTGTATTTATTTGAAGGGTTTTCACTCTTTTTAACACAAAAGCAGTATATTTTATAAAACTCTATGACTTTTCTATAGCAAAGAGGGATTAACAGCTGCATTCACTGGAATTCGGATTAAGCTGCTTTGTGGAATCAAACTGCAAAGGCTCGTTCTTCTGATTTCTTAAGTTTTCAGGGGGACCGAGTCTGTTCTTTATTTCCCGTGCCATTGTAGTGAAGACTTCGTTAAGGTTAGTAGCAGTCTTGGCAGACGTTTCCATAAAGGTGATGTTTAACTTATCGGCGCAATCCTAGAAAGAAAGACCCTTCAAGATTGCGCTCTAATAAAAAAAAATCAAAAGAATACTTTGGCCGTTTCGTAGTCGACTACTTTCTTAGAAGTGAGATCATTTTTGGTGCCAATGAGAAGCTTGTTCACATTTTCATTGGCATACCTGTTAATTTCTTTCAACCAAGTGTGCACATTGTCGAAAGAAGTCTGGTCTGTCACGTCGTATACTATAATAATGCCATGAGCCCCTACATGTGAAGATAACTTAAAATGAGAATTTGTTTACGAGAATCCTCAAGGATCTCACAAAAAAGAAAGTAAACACAGTCTTGAAGAGAAACGGACCTCGATAATAAGAGGAGGTAATAGTTCTAAACCTTTCTTGCCCAGCAGTGTCCCACTAAATATTAGAAATAGTTTAGAGCAAGACACACTCTAAAAGAGATAAGGTACTATTTGCAATTTAATAGTTTTCCCGTCAAGAACGATAGTTTTTATCTTAAAATCTACTCCAATGGTAGAAATGTAGGTCTCTTAAGTTTATAATAAACATAATAATAATAAATAGAAGATTTACAGCAAACAAGTAATCAAAATAAATTTCTACCAGAGTAAGTGTCATCGGCAAAACGAAGCAACAAGCAAGATTTTCCAACACCAGAATCACCAATCAACAAGAGTTTAAAAAGGAAATCACTTTAAAATAAGATATGAGTTAGAAAGCAAACTTCTTCATCTGAAAATAGTAAAAGAGTTCAGTAGAATATTTGTATTTTATTTTATATAACCGATAAAAATGCTTACTATTCTGGGTTCATACTTCCTAAGTAGTAAAACAACGGAATTCTTTGGAGAGGGTAGCGTACTTTTGATGGTCCTTTTATGGTGATAAAAAATATAATTAAAACAACATTACGTAAGGAGGCTCTGGCATAAGTAATGTACACTCAAAAAAATTTTAAAAGGTTTGCAGAAAGCACCCGACTATGCCTCCCTTGCGCACAAAATAAGCAGAGGGAAAACGGTATAGCGACCGGTTGATAAACTGAAAGGTTTGCTAATCTTGCGCAACTTCTGTTTAAAATAATATTTAAATAGGCCAAATTTGTGTTATTTGGTAAGGATCAATTCTGAATCAATTTTGTAATGATCTCATTCAAATCTGAGCTTCAGTTCGAGGGCTAGATATAAAAGCAAAATATGATAATGCCCCGCTTATTTACCACTATGTAACTTAAAACTGGTTCTTTGTTTTACTTAATTAAAGTGAATAAAAGTTTAATTAACTGCTCTATACTTCTTTTAGTATTGTTCTCTTTGAGCACCTCAACCGGTAATTTAAGTAGTTTAACATACTATCTACCAATTGGAGCTTAACATAATTAGTTCCCAAAGCACTAACTGTTTTAATATATTGAGAGCACACAGCGAAGTTAGAGTTAATTAGGTTAAATACATAAATCATAAGGCTAAGATTGAAGGTTGGCGTCAAAGCTCAGAGATTAATGGCACGGTTTCATTAACATTAGTAAAGATCTCATCGGTTCTATCCTTTTGCCGTTTTTTTTCTTCCAAGTTTATTTCTTTCTATTACAAGTTTGTTGGTGTGGACATAAAACTCTCACTCCTTAATTCAATCTGCTACCATTAATAAGTCAGCTGCTTTTTATAATTAAGACAATTTCGCGAGTAGTTTTGAACTTAACCTCAACTGTTATTATAGTCAGTATAGCTTGCGTTCTTAATAAGTTAAGGTGTTCAGATTCTTACATAGAAAGAGTTGGAGGAAGAAGTTGCCAACGTTTTAGTTTTCGAAAATAACCATGCTTTTAGATACAAAATGACAATGGTCGGAAAAATAAAAGTTAATAGGAATAATAAAGAAATTTAAAAAATTTCGGAAACCGAGAACAATACTTGAATTTTTTTGCAGGTAAACCTTTAGTGCTTATGGTTTTCTATGTAGTGGAAACACAACACTCAGACAATGCAGCAGCGGAAGTTGAGAATAGCAAGTCTCATATAAACTTGTCTTACAATGAAACCAAAGGAGGCGAGTGTATACAATTTAAAACGTTCCACTCGAAGGTGACTGCCTTCGACATTTTACACTCAAGTTGATATTGTTGCGATAAATCTTACACATGTTTAAAAAAAAATTTAAAAATTTAAAAAAATGGAAAAAGCAAATTAATAACAAAGGAATTTATTTTTGCGAGCACTAGGAATGGGTTTTATCAAACCCCAAATTGAATTCTGTGCACAAAGTACACTGTCTTCTTAAGAATGTAACTGTGGAGAAAGGTATTTTATGGAGAAGGCTAACGACCGCACCTGCACCACCATCCCATGTACGAACTCAGTGCACGTCGACTAAAAGGTGTTTCATTTGCTGTTAAATTTGTGAGCCCACAATATCCAAACTTAACAGCGATCGTCTGTACTCGCTGTAAAAGAGTGAGTGTGAGAAGTATTCCAAGAAAGTTTACGTGTGCGACAACTCCTAGAAGGGAAGACACAGGAGAAGCAGAATAATTTTTATCAGCTTTGTATTGTGTTTACAATTTTGGCAAAATAAACTTTTTTTAACTAATGTTACGACTCTTTATGTATTTAGAGTAAACTGAGTTCATTTTCTAATTGTATATTAAAAAAAACACACTCTTTAATATTTGTCTTGTGGATAATTTCTGTCACCTTTAATCAGTGTGACAAGTAGCGTGGCCCTACGATAGTTAAACTAAGGGGCGTGGGGTTTAATAATTTTTACCTAGGTGACTCTCGATGTGGGTAATATTTCCCCGTAGTAAATTGGTTGTCGCTTTGTACGTCACATTACAAGAGGTCAGGAGTTGTAACTTGGCTACTTAGTATTAAAGGGCAATTAATTTGATAACAATATTTCGCACTTTTTCTTAAGCCCTCATTTAAAAAAATCTGACTTCTCAACTTACGGCGTTAAAGGAGCATTTTCTAAACGAAAAGGGATATTATAAAGTCAACTTCTTATTGTTTAATTTTACTTCTACAAAGTAACTGTGTTAGTATCTTACACAGACTTCCTGCATTAAGCCTAAAATATGCTAACTGATTAACTTTTATTTATATTTTAGTGGTTAAAATTTAATTAAATTAATTTTTTAGTGGGTTATTTAATAATTTAAAGTCATAGAGATTATAACGCGCTGCCTAATTTTTTCATCATAGTAGAAACTAGTATATAGAACTTTTTAGTCTAGTATCCCAACCCAGTATTCATGAAATGAGAGACGCGTTTTAACTCGGCACACCGCACATAGGTGGAAGCTCAAAAACTGGAGGAGCTTATTAAATAATTTGTTCACCTTTAGCCTTTTTAGGGGGCCGGGTCATTTGCAACCCCCGCCACATTTTAGGAAATCTAAAATCCGACCTTTTATTTTAGTCTCTCAAGTTTCTCGGTTTCCTTATGTTGCTGAGATTTCATTTCAAGTTTCTGCTTTTCATTACAGTGTATAAAAGTACACTCCCTGGGCAAGGAGGTATAGTCTTGTTACTATACAGTAATCGTCAACGCTTTTTTATTTATTATTTTTAGTTTATATAGAAGATTTAACGAATAAAGTTGATTTATCTTCTTATCAAGGCCAACTTATGGCCTTTGGCGATATAAATTCTGATTCTACTACGGACCTTGTAATTTCAACTGACACTGAAGTTCAAGTATTGTTAGCAGATCCAAAAGGGTTTTTTACTTTGCAAAATAGCTATTCAGGTCATTACCTTAACTGAGACTTAAATTTTCAAAACTGCTGTTAACTATTTTTTTTAGTTAACATCTCGGAGTACGACACTGAAGCTGTAAAAATTGTCAATGTTGCACCTGCTGATTATAATCTCGACGGTTTAGTTGACCTTGCAGTCATGTACATCAGGAAGAACAACGCTTCACTAATTTATGTTTGGCTTTTTACTAACAAAGGCCACGCTTTTGGTTTGAATTTACGTTAGCTACACTTATATCCTTTCTTTCTTTACTTTGCTTTCTATTAAGATAGAATCTTCCGGTCAATTGGGTGCTGAATTTACGTCTCAATTGTGCGTGTTGGATGTTAACGGCGATTCCATTCCCGATTTTTTTAGTTGCTAACTTTATTAAATTCTTTTTATGTATTATAAACCTATTTAGCTGAAAGTCCAGGAGCTCTTGGTCGTAATTTTTACATTACACATCTCGTTAACGGAAGTATCGCACACAAACTGTTAGGGCTACTATTAGAAGCTGCTAACTTTCTATTTTTTTCTTTATATTGTCGATTTCGTTATACTTGACTGAGTTATGGTTATTTTGTTATGTCCATTAATCAGGGAAAAACAGGAAAGTATAGATAAAGTAATGGTTCCCCATTCGAATTCCTTTATAGATTTAGACGGTGACTGCTTGGCAGGTTGTGTAGGATTCCTGATACACGTTTCTATAGAATTTTATTTAAAATTCTCGAGCCTACTTTCTACCAGATTTGTTTGTCACCTCGGCGGATCCGGTCACTGGTCTTCCCCAAATAGAGGTGTGGCTCAACAATCACCGTCAATTTAAACGCTATAAGAAAGAAAATCTCCTTCTAGACCCCGAGGTTTTGAGGCACATGGGCATTTTTTCCTTTGGGGACTTTGGTATGGGTTCTGATCCACTCGGAAGGGAAGCCCGTCTTCACGATATATCCTCCTACTTATAAAGACGGCGATGGGCATATGGACATGATCGCACCTTTTTGTCAACGAGCCTCTGGGGAAGAGAAGTGCGCGGTTTGCTTGCGCTGTAACTCCTTGATTAAGTTTTTTTACATACACTCGAACCCAGAATAGCTCGATATATATTTTTTTCAATGTTCCAAAAGACAAGAAACCGTCTGAGTTGTGCAAGCCGCGAGAATTTTACTTTTCAATGGAGGTTTCCTGATCCATACAACTTACATTATATTTATTAAAGCACCCGTTGGTTTGTAATCTGCAGCAATTTATCTTTAATATCTACTTCAGGAGTCCCTCCATATACCACTGGAAGACTCCCGTGGGGCACTGCTGTCCTTTTTCTACGAAAGAGACATGCCTAACCTACCCTTGCGCGTGGCCATCGGTTCCTATATATATGACTTTCTTGGCGAGACGGCCCCCACTGATATAAACGTACTCGCTAGGCGATTACGACGCTGACGGATATCCGGACTTGCTTATCGTGGTGAGGGATAGCAGTGGACGGCGACAGGTATTTTCTCTTGGACTTGGCCCTTTTCTCTCTGGCATCGTTTATATATTGCAAATCCTTAATCTAAGGTTGCCCTGTTAAGAAATGAGATACGCCAGGCACCAGAGCGGCAGGGGGTGAGTCGAACGGCAAGGCAGTTTGTAGCCGTTTCATAGCCTCGTTTTTCTATACAAGGGCATGAGAATGATTGAGAGCGAGACGCTGGCAAGTATTGAAAATCCGCTCTATGCCACCTTCTTCGACATCTTCGAAAAGGTAGCCAAGTTTATGCTTTGTTCAACACCGAGTCTCACTAGCTTCCGTGCAGGGACGCCTTGATATACTTGTGGCGTGCGGTAAGTGGGATATGGACAGCAAGACAACGCGGGTTTTCACTAAAGCCTTTACGTTTCGCGATATCTCGGACTCGTTTTTTGTGAAAACGATCGGTTTGCTTTGCTCGCGCCCGACTAATGCGGATATTGTCACCTAACGGGAAGGGCAGTAATGAGCAGGCCGAAATCTGCAAGCCCTGTCGTCGGGGCCTTCTTAGCAGCGCAGTTTGTGGACATCCACGGAAATCGCGTGACCAGAGTTGGCTCTTTCATGCCGAGCGCCTGCTACTACTCTTTAGGGACGCCATACGTCGTTGTCGGGCTCGGACGAACCACCAATTACATCGACTCTTTAAGTGTGACGGTTCCATTTTCCTCCAATAATGTCTACCATTTCTGTTGTATCGCTTGTGTTTTTTCTAACACGTACTGATAGCTGAGGCTCAACCACCACGAGTTTCCTGCAGTCATTCCCAACTCTCAACTTATTATTTTTCCCCAATCAACAAATGATCCGCCAAGGTTCTTAACTACTAAACACTGTTATCGCTATCGTACTACTGGGCTGGCTGTGTAACACCGCTTACAAGTTTATTACTACTGGTGCAGATGGACCATTAAGATATATTTGCTCCCGCGGAGGGTTGTTCTCTGGGTGGCGGTAGCAGCGCTCTGTTCATGCGCTGTATTGGCCACGATCGTCGCAACTTTCCATCTCTTGGAGAAGGTCGAGTATTGCAGTACCCTTTCCTACCCAGTCTCACAGTTGACGTTATTGCAGAGCGAAGACGAAAAGGAAAAAAGAAAAATGAGGCATCTGTTTAACTATCGCGCATTATAAGGCGATAGAAAAAATCAAGCGAATTCATAGCTTCTCTCGTCCCATTCCGTCTTTTGCTCGAGACCTCTTCTTAAGAAAAAGGCCAGAAAGACCACCATGCCTTTGTCTTGCTGGCCTCCCCCTTCTCTAAATTTATTAAGTTTATATTAAAGTTATTAATAACCACCGAGAAGACAACTTTTATATAAATTTCATTCACGGAAGGAAGCTTTAAAAATACCTTGTACGACTGGGTTTTTGAAAAAGAAGCCCGGAGCGCCTGAATTGCTCATCTAAATAAAATTTAATATATAAAAAACAACTTCCGTGACGCAATAAAGGCACTCTTTTCACAGGTCAATTTTTAAAATAAAGTAAAACTATATACTTCGGTTCTTTTTTCTTCGCGCGTAAACTCACCATCTGAATTTTGTTTTTCAATAACTTCAACTATTTTATTGCCTGTTATTTAGCATTATGTAATAATTATAACTCGGTGCATACAACAAATGCAAATAAAACCGCTCTGTGTGACTATTCTTTTTTCATAACTGCCGTTTATCACTTTAAACTCTAAAGGACCGCGAATGTTCTCTAACAAAAAAATACATATCAAAAATTATTTACTAGTCATGCTACCTTACCATCAACCCCAGCAGAATTTCTTATTAAATTTTTGAGACACAGAAATTCATTTCTAGTGCCTGCTATACCACCAAGTTCTGCAAACATGTCTTCAAAAGCACGAAAAAAGGGAAATATAAAATCTTGACTGCTTGCAGGTAACTCAAAAACTTTAGAATTGGGAATATCTCGTCCAGTGTTACTTGGGCGTTCAAAGTCAAAATAAACTACGTTCATATTACGTAAAAAATCCTTTTCCGGCGCACTTTCAATGAGGATCTCGTTTCTTAATGTTTTTGGGTTATTTTCCTTTTCAACTACAAGGCCTGGAATATTTGAGGGCCTATCGTCTGCACCATTTTCGTTTATGCCCTTTAAGACACGCTCTCGAAGAGTTAAAGGCTTTGAAAAGTTTTTCGGTCCATTGTCCTTATTTCTGGTAAAACGAAAAGAAACACAGTTACTAAGTGGTAATTATATATATAATATACATATATTATATAATTCGGACTTTACAAAGTTTTCTCTATCGTAAAAAAAAAGTTCGTTCAGAAGGTCAAACACACTCCCAACCATAACGCCTTCACAATAAAAAGCAAAAGATCTCCTAAAAACGCTTACGTATCGTATTTTTATAAGCTGCCTAATTCATTAATTTTCATCAAATAATTCACACCATAATTTTTTACTACCAAAAAGGTTTTATCATGCTAGTACCCAAGGTCAAATCATTTTACCGCACATGCAGTCGAGGCTATTCATATTGTACCGATAAACGATTTTAGGTTTAACTGAGTACTCTCAACTTAAAGGCTCTTACTTTGCTAAGGGTTGTCACGGTAATCTGGAAAATAAAAATAAACAATAAACTTTTCAAAAGGCTTGTAAAAAAGTTGTACTTATATTGTACATGTACTATTCCACTCCGAATATTTTTATATTCCTACTTTTATTTTACAGTTTAAGCTCTATCTTACTTCAAGAAGGGGTTGGTCACAAGTTAGGATAAAAACAGTGTACATTTGAGAATTTTTACAATTGCGTACCACAAGCTCTTTTTTAGTAAGTTTATTTATATTGTGGTAATTTCCGTAGTAGTTTATTACAAAAGGTTTTAGTTGTGAAGTATAGATTGTGAGTCTTAAGCATATGTCATCTTAGAATTTAGCTGCAAATTTTAATGTAATATTTCTACTTATAAATAAGAAGTTTAGCACATTTCTTTAACCAAGGATGATACTAACTAAGGTAGTTCAACCAATGATAAATATTGAAATATGTATTACTTAACAAAAATTATGTATTTACCTACTACAAGCAGTTCTAAACAACTGCTGCGCGTAATAATGTTGCCCTCAATATTTCACACAATGGTTAGTTATTAACTGTATGTAAACCTTAAACACTACTATTTAAACCTTCATGCATTTGAAAATAACTAGATATAAATATTTAAATGGCACAAAATTTTGAAACGTAATCAAATAGAAAGCGCGCAACTTCTTGTTTATAATAAGTGAAAGTTCCTTATATATATAAATTTAAACCGCCAAAACAATCATTTAAATAATCTTTAGAATTAGCAAAATACTGGCGATTTGATTAAAAATGGATAGCAGTAGGCGGATGTATTCTTTAGTCTTTATTTAAAACTTCTGTTTACGTTAAAATGAATTTTAGAGTTTAGTTCTTAGCCGGAACTCTTTAAAGGTTATATATGGCTTATATAATTTTGAATGATCAGTAGGTTAAGTTTAGGTTCTCTGATTGTTGTTTGTAGTGTGAGAGAGCTATGGGCGCAACAGATAGTAAGTTATAATTTCAATTTTACTCTGCATATTTTATCAGAGCTCTTCTTTTTTTAATTTCTCAGTATAAGTAGTTTGTTATATATATGCGGTTATGATGTTTACTTAAATAACCTATGAATTTTAAACCCGGTTGGACACCTGGCTTGATTGATGAGACTTAGTACTTATAATGAACTTGTAAAATGTTAATTATTTTCCGGGGAAGGACTTGAAAATTTTTTCCCCTTAAATTTACTTTTTTATAATAGTGTTATTATTTTTAAAGGTTCTCCGGTAGCCAATCTCGGAGGTTTAAAACGCTGCTAGAATACTATGATACATTTTTTAAATCTAAAAAATGTTTGAGTTTTGCATTTGAGGAGCACATATATAAACATATATACTTAATATAAAAGCAACTCTCCTCTTTAGTATTTCGCGTTTCTCTGCTTTGTTGTTGTTCGTCCTGTCAGCAGAATTTAGTAATTGATTAAAACTGAAACCAAAACCAAACAAATAACCTTGCTTCATTAGTGATCTAAAGGGTTACTAATAAGTCGAAACTTTGTTTATAAAGAAAGTTATACTTAATTTTACTAAGTTTACGGCGAATTTCATATGTTCTATTGCGTGTTATGTAAATTGGTAACTTTCTTAACCTTAATTGCATTTTATGCATATTTTGCAGTATTTCATTGACAAAGTTAGAACTCTAAGTTACACATGCGCGCAACTGTGTCTTTAAATGTGTGATGTAGTATTTCGGTTCTTGGTTTGAAAACGTATGGGAGTTTGTAAAATAATTGATGTAATACATTTTTAAAGTTTAGACATATCGTTCATTTTTTACGGCTAATATTGTTAATAATTTTTATGTAATTAATATTTTCATATAGTTTACTTTACCCGAGTTTTACGTTCCTTTAGAGTCCTTGACAGTTAATGTGGTTTGGGTGTTAGAACCCGATACCTTTTTAAACGACTCTATATTGTGAGGAGGGCATGCACTTTCTGACGTGGAGGAACTAACAGTTTGGAGAGAGTTCTTTTGCACCTATTCTTGACCCCCGTAAAATTAAAATAATCGCAACTATTGTAATTTAAAGAAATGGAAATAGATATGAAAAGCATTTAAAAAATAAGGTGTAAGTTAGTACTCGATACTGGACCCTGCAGCACCCGCTTTTTAGCTTGGAGGTAAAAACATTCGGGTAAACTAGAACCGGTGACAAAGTTGAAAAGTTAATGTTGAAATTCTAGGTTTCTATGTAGAGACGCAACCCTTATTAGTATTCTTTGAGGGAATATTAGTCTTCTTAAGTAACGCATCACTCCTTGCAAATGAATTAAGTTCATATTTACTTCTTGAAAGTTATCATGTAATTGGTAGTACATAAATTACTTAGAGTCGAAATCGAGATCAACTAATTAAAAATAATATAAATTTTATTTTGGTCGTGATTTAATCAATGCTTCTTAAAAAAGACTGTGGTGACCAGTATGCTTCTTCAATTAGCGCTAGAACTAGGTCTCAAGATAAATAGGTACTATATTTACGCTTTCTAAGAAAGGCTAATCCGAGAACTCTGAATCGTCTGCCTGCAGGCGGGCTTTTTTATAATCATGAGAGACTCTGCACACTATTGTTATCTGTGATGTGCTTTGAGTTATTAATTTCTGGTGATGGTTTATTAGAATGACAAATATCAAAAATTAAAAAAGGTATGCCCACCTATTAAGTGTTTAAAAAGCCTCGCCTAAAAACTATAATTTATAAAGCTAAAATGCTTCAAAGCAATTGAACATAGAGTTTCCTCTTGCTCAAAAGTCAAACCTTCATTGAAGGCAGTCCAACTTTGTAGACTATGAGCCACCTTAGTTTTAAATCTAGATAGTTTTTAATCTACTCATCATTAAGTTGAGGGTGTGTCTTTACACTGCTCAATCACACTTTACTTGAGGTTTTTAATGAGTCGCAGTTAATCTTTACATAACTTACATGTAATAAAAATTATCTAAAAAATATATGTATAGGAATAAAAAAATGAAGAGGAAAAACGCAGAGAGAGAGAGAAAAATAAAAGATGCCAAGATTCTTTTCATTTATATTTCTCTTGTTGTTTTTAGTTGACCTTTCACGCAAATTTTCGTTTAAACTATTGAGCCTTTTAACTAATGAGTGGAAAAGGAATGGGTAGAATTAATGTCTTTTTATTAAATTGCTTTACACTACTCCGGAGAGATTTTTGCCTTGGAATTTAGATTCCAGTTTCGTAATGTTTACTGTTTTAACAAATAATGGTTCGAGTTATTATAGTAACCCTTTAGATCACTAATTGAGTTTATTTTGCTTGCTTGTTCGGCTTTGGTTTGAGTTTTAATCAATTACTAAGTCCTGCAGACTAAGATGAACAACTACATAGCAGAGAAGCGAGAAAAGGAGAAAAATCCCTTAAGTCTTTTATTAGGTGCATACATATATATATAGTCCGCTAGTGCGATAAAGGTACATTTTTAAGATCAAATGGCATTAATTTCCTTTCACAATCTTCTAACCTTAAAAATGCATCCTAGTTATTTAGAGTTTTAAGCCTTTAAGATTGATTACCGAGGAATTTTTAAACATTTTCATTTTAACATTTTAGCTCACATTCTTTATAAGCGCATACTTTTAGAGGGGCGTTGGTCTTGCGTTATTTTTATTTTAATTCATGAATCGATCGGCTTTCGTTAGCAGTTAAATCTTTAGAATACTTAATCAATACTAAAACTTATTAATTTTTGGAGTTGTTTCAAGGTTTCTACGTCGCCCGCACACCGTCGCGCGGAGAGGGTGGAGCCAAATGCACCGATCCCTATTACACTTATTAAAGTATATCCTAAAGAGGGAGTGGTTATGTTCGCTTGTTTCTGACATGCAGCTAAGTTTAGACTCCCCAGAAAGTGTGCTGCGCCAAAAAAAAGATATATGTATGAAAATATAGATAAAAATAGTCCACTCTACTAGCAGTTGGGAATCCCCTTAAGACCAAGAACTTTTGTGATTTTAAATTGTAAACTGTCTTTTATACGTTAAGTTAGGATAAACCTTTCCAGGAAGTGAAATCTCAATTTTTGGATTGCATTAAATCAGTGAGTGCTAATTGTTATGCCGTCATGTGAATTAGCTATAATTGGGTTATGTTCACAGTTTTAATTTAGCGCTAAATTGTTTCACAACGCTTGCAAGTTAGCACACTCAATGCAGGCGATTAAGGCGGTATTCAGCTTTATGTATCGACATAATGCCGTATATGTTAAAGATATTCTCAAAGACTATAATCTAAGAACCTAACGAGTGTTCTTGGTGTCTCCTTACCGACGAAATTCAGCTCGTCTTATTTGTCCATTTTCTGGATGTACGTGGGAGTGCTTTGACTCTACGACTCGCAGTATCTCCTTATCGGTCTAAGTTCTAATTTTTCATGGCGGAATTGCCACCCTAGGGAAGAGTGGCACTCGAAATGTAGTAACCTACCTATTTGCAATCTTTAGTAATCCTCTACTGTCCTGGGTTTTCTTTGACTTTAGCTGAAAAGATAAAGTAAGCTATCCTTTTTTCAAAGGAATGCTTAACAACCTAGGGCCGTAAATACGGTTATCTTGTTAGTTTTAAGTTATTAATCTCCTCGTGACCTAGGATCTATACAGTTGCTTTCTGCACAGGTTTCAAGACTAGCTCTTAATAATGGGAAAACCTCGAACGGGCCAGAGACCTTCCGTAGGTTTTCTAGTGCCAACGATTTTAAAAGGTAGTATCTTATGGGCATGGTCTCATTTAAATAATGGTAGCGCTGTATTAAGGACGCCGGTAGGAGGCCGTATCTTACGTCTGTTTTTAATATACTAGCCCTTGATCTGTGTATTAGACTTTAAAATTTGAGGTTTGTAGTAGATTACCGGGTGACTTACGAAAAATGCCCTTAATTGGGCATTTTGAGGGAAATTTAACTAAAATGTTTTGCAGTCTACAGAGAAATCACGTTGTGTTGAAGGTTACGTGTGACCAGAGTAGCTACATGTCACCTCTATCGAGTTTGTCTGTTACGTCGAGAAGTTGCAGAACTTCCTGAGCACCAAGAAAATATATTTTTTTTCGTTAATAACACACTCTTACAACTCATGTATTTTGGAAAATATCGTCTTCGTTACAAACCAAAAGCCGGGTGTCTCAGTTGCCCATAACCTAAAAAACCTCTGCAAACGTATTCCAGGCCCTTAGCCATCTCAAGCGTCCTCGCCAAGTTTGTTGTTAATATGCCAACCACTACTCTTAACGTTAATTGCTGTTGAATTTTTTGCGGTTGTTGGAGCATTAAAAAGTCGTAAACGACATAGCAAATAATTTGGAAATTTTATAGTTATGCAGTGGTGTGCCGCATTCAACCACATTAGATGTTTATCCAAATTTTTACTTCAGGCTTATTCCTATTTGCTTCGACAAGAGTAATAGAATTAATCACAAAAAAAGAAAACTAGTTCTCTTAAGGGTTGCTGAGAATTTAAAAGTATAATTATCAAAACATTGATATCTCACCATGTTCATTGCCATTGGTAAGTGGTTAAATTTTTTCTGGGACAGTATGACGTAACCTGCATAAATTACCAGGGAAATTTAACAAATATATAACTTTATAGGTGTAATCAACGTACTTATAAAATAACTTTTAAAAGTATCTTTCATTATAATTAATTATATAGACAAATTTTCTTACTTTGAATAGCTTCCTAGTCAAAGTAAATTTTAGGTCGTAATACCTTAAAAAATAAAAACTACACGTCAAATACAAGAACTCCTGGTTTACGGTCAAAACCCTGTCCAGTGACCAATAAACTACAGCGATCTGTTCATCCTCTTAAATTATAACTCTGCTTGGAGCCTTCCGCTTTAGCTTATAGCCACTTAGTTGTACGTACCGGCATGTATTTCAATATTTGTCCAGAAGACCTTCAAAACTTTTTTGAACTGCACGTACCTTTTATTTATAGCTCGTAAATTTCGACATTCTTTTCTCCCTTTTATAAATAAAACAGTCAGACGTTCAGCTGAGAGCAGGTATACAAGAACAGGTGGCAAAGGCGTTATTAACTAACTTGGAGGGTAAACTAGAGATTTTGACTTATTTACTTTAATTAAAAAGAAAAAAAACCTGTTCTATGTCCATTTTATATAATAAATTTTTTTTCGTTAGAAACTTTCCCTTACCACTTTTTTCTATTTAGGTGGGATAGATACCTTAGATGAAAAACAGTTATTGGCCAGAAAAGAGATCTTTGGGGAAAATACTTTGCCCGAGAGAAAAAAAAAGAGGTATTTTTTGTTTAATTGTTGTTCTTAAACAACTTAAAGATAACTTTGGGTTAGCACTAAGTTTCGAAACCCACTTTGTTCTTAGCAGCCTTTGAATATTAGGTTTTGGGAGTTCATGGTGGATGCCTTATCCGACGTTACTCTTATTGTTCTAATAGTATGTGGTATCCTATCCCTCATACTTGGCCTCACTATTGAAAAAGGTTTTTTCTGGTCTTTCTTTGTGTACTGAAGAATCTTTAATGGACTTCTTAAGCTTTTACTGTATTGTATAGATAAAACTGTGGGCTGGATAGAGGGCGCCTCCATTCTCGTCGCTGTGCTGATAGTAGTTTTAATTTCGTCGCTTAACGACTTTCAAAAGGAGAAGCAGTTTCGTGAGCTTTCAGCAATCAAAGACGATGTGATAGTAAGCGTGACACGCAACTTTAAACGAATGCAAATTCCAGCAAAAGAACTTCTAGTTGGAGATCTGCTTCACCTTTCGACGGTCCGAGCTTCATATATAAAGTTAAAGGTTGCGCTTCCCATTTAATCTTTCAGGGAGATATCGTGACTGCTGACGGGTTGCTGTTGAAGGGCTACGACGTAAAAGTGGATAATTCCTCTCTCACCGGTAATAAAAATTAGCGAGTTGAAAGCATCTCGATTTTTATTTAGTGTAATCCCCTTTTACTTAATAACTAACGCATTAAAGGCGAATCCGAACCGGTTGAGAAGTCTCCGAATGAAGACCCCGTTATCTATAGCGGGACTAAAGTAGATGTTCAACTTTGTGGAAGTTTGTTGGTCAATATTTGACTTTGTTAGATTTTGGCTGGTTACGGGATTCTCCTTGTTTGCGCTGTGGGTGTGAGATCCCAGACGGGGATCATACACCGGTTGGTCTCTTCAAACGCTTCAATTTCCGCTGTCCGTACTCCACAGCTCCGCTATCTTTTCAATTTATTGCGTTTCTATGGGGCTAAGAAGCTTTCTATATATAATTATCTCTTTTACTTTTTAAGCAAACGTTTCTTAGCTAGAAAAACTACTACTTGACAACTCTTTTTCACTCCTATAAATGAGGAACTTTTAATTTTCTTTTATACTAAACTCAAACTTTATATTTTATACAAAGCAGGGGAAAAAAAGAACTTCAGAGCATAAAGAAAGTGAACCGACCGGCGAGTCCACACATCTTCTGTCGGAGGAGCACAAATATTCTTCTAGTAGTAGCAGTGATGTGAGCGAGCCAGACGAGTCCGTAATTGAAGGTTCCGGCTCGGTACTCCAAAAGAAACTTGAAGATTTAGCGGTGCGCATTGGTTATTTTGGGATGGTCTGTTTTTACTATTGCCGTGCGGATTCGGGTCACTGTTGACCCTCGCTCAGATGATGGCGGTGCTGACCTTCTTGATTCTGGTCATCCGGTTCTGCATCAAGACGTATACTGTACGGCGCTTTGATGTGGCAGACCTCGCCGAGTTCCTCAAGTTTTTTATCGTGGGCATCACCGTGCTCGTGGTGGCTGTCCCGGAAGGACTGCCATTGGTGGCGTGTTCTTTGTCCACATGCTTTCTTAGCTAACTCTTCTGCTTTTAGGCGGTAACTATCGCTCTGGCCTTTTCTGTTAAAAGAATGCTCCGCGATAAAAATTTGGTTCGCCATCTGGACGCGTGTGAAACAATGGGAAGCGCCACCACCATATGCTCCGATAAGACTGGTGGTGTATCCAACCTCGTGGGCGGACTTGTTGTTACGTCACAGCCATCCATGCAGGCACGTTGACCACCAATCAGATGACGGTGGCCGCTTGCGAGTTTGCCCATGTGCAGAAGGATTGTCTTCAGTATGACAAAGCACCTCTCGGTAGAACAAGCAAAGACATTGTGGAGCAGATTGCGTCGGTCAACTCCACGGCAGAAGTACCTGCAATAACACTTTTGTTTGGAGAGATAGTCATCCACTCTGTATCTACTATACAACAGGTTCTTATTGAGGATGACGGCCGTTGTGAATACCTCGGCAGCAGCACGGAGTGCGCTCTTCTATACTTCCTGCGAGTACACAATATCGATTATGCAAAGTACCGGAAGACCTGCGAGGTGGCTAAACTCGTGACCTTTTCGTCCGCCCGGAAACGAATGAGCACTATAATATACCTTCCTCAAGAAGGTGTTTTTCTTTTAATTTTTTCTTCGCAAACCCGTTTTTACTTTTTTTTCAGAAATATACAGAGTTCTTTGCAAGGGAGCCGGTGAAGTCGTTTTAGGGCGCTGTGCCTTCCTATACAGGGAAGATACTGGAAAAGGGCCGCTGACTCCGGAATTACGGGATTATTATCAGCAGCGCATCGATGATTATGCCCAAAAAGGTTGAGCGTGAGTTTCGGGTTAACTTTCTGGCTGAGCGCCGCTCTTGTAGAGTTCAGTTGGGTATTTCATTGAATCAGGAGATCTATTACAGTCTTCACTAGAATACTTTTTGTCCATTTGTATTGCTCTTCCATGCTTCTTGTAACGAGCCCTGATACTGCAGGCCTGCGAACACTGACATTTGCGTACAAAGACCTTTCCAAGGAGACTTTCGAGGCACGCGGCGCTAATACAGACTTTGTGGAAAGCAGCCTTATTTTCATGGGGATTGTCGGCATAAAGGACCCCGTCAGGCCCGAAGTTGTTGTAATAAGCCTTGTTTATGGATTGCTTGTCTTCTCGCGTGAGCGGCTTTATATTACTCTTCCTGTAGAACGCCATCAAGCAGTGCCAGAAAGCCGGTATTGTCGTACGAATGGTCACTGGAGACAACGTCCTCACTGGTTATTATTGCTATCCGCTTTCCAAAATCTGCACACACCTAATCCATTTCCAAGCATGCACTATTGCTAAAGAGTGCGGGATACTAGATGCGGACTACAGTTTCTTTTCGGTTATGGAAGGCCCTGACTTTCGCAACCGCGTCACTGAGGCCGATGGTCCTTTCATGACAGCTTTATTGCTTTCCAGCCTGCTGATTTTCTGAGATGGTATTAGGAGTAATAAATATGAGAAATTTCAATATGATATGGCCGCATCTACGAGTGCTTGCGCGGTCCTCCCCTCAAGACAAGTATGTACTGGTGGACGGGCTAATAAGGGCAGACAACGTTCTCCATCTTATTATCGTTTCTGTGTTTTGCGTTAGTTTGACTCTTTCTCTTAAAAGGGCGGACGACAAATTGTGGCCGTCACAGGAGACGGCACTAACGATGCGCCTGCTCTCAAGAGAGCGCACGTGGGGTTTGCTATGGGGATTCAGGGCACCGAAGTAGCCAAGGAAGCTTCCGATATTATTTTGATGGACGACAACTTCAATTCTATTGTTTCTGCCGTAAAATGGGGAAGTACGCTGCCCTGATATTTTTTTCGATGACTCCACTCGCTATTGCTCTATTTTACAAGGAAATATATACGACAGCGTTTCCAAATTCCTCCAGTTTCAGCTCACTGTGAATGTTGTGGCCATACTGGTGGCCGTCGTCAGTAGTGCGGTAATCGAAACCTCTCCGCTGACGGCCGTCCAGATGCTTTGGATCAACTTGATTATGGATTCCCTCGCCTCCCTTGCACTTGCCACCGGTTAGAAAGCATCGCTCACAGTGCGCGGGCACCAACGAGTAGCTCACTTATTGTTATTCAGAACCTCCGAGCGCTGCACTACTCTCTCGAAAGCCATATCGGAATGACAAGGTCTACCATGTGGGTAACTTCTGCCGCTCTGCCCGCTTACTTGTCACTTAGCCGATCGTCACCGGGAAGATGATCCGCTTCATTGTTGGCCACAGCTTGTACCAGTGCTTGATAGTGTTTGGCACCATCTTTCTTTTCAGAACTGTGAGTGCATTTGTCCACGTGATAGCTAAGACACCTACCACAACATCCGCACAGCAATTTTATATTCCAGACAGCGGGCTGGTGTCATTGGATAAGCCCACCGTGCATTTCACGATGGTCTTCAACCTATTTGTCCTCCTTCAACTCGTTAATGAAATCAACGCTCGTAAAATTCATGGCGAGCTCAATGTTTTCAGTGTAATGTGCGCGTCGTCTGCTCTCCAAATATTTCCTTAACTTCGCGACTTCTCTAGGGATTGACAATGAACTGGCTTTATTTGGTTATCATGGCCGCGCAGCTTCTTTGCCAGCTCGTTATAGTCCAGTTTGGCGGAAAGGCTTTCGGAGTGGTTCCCTTGAGTTGGTACCACTGGCTGATGTAATAATCTGTGTAAAAAGTTTTTGGCCTTTGGAGATATTTAAATTTTCACTGGTCATAAGATGCACAGGTCTGGCTTTAGTGGAACTCCCACTGAACTTACTTCTCCAATTCATTCCCACTCATTTTATATCCAAGACTTTAAAAGGAGCTCGCAGGTAAAAAGTTCTTTCATTATGTGATTGTCAAATGCTATATGCAATATTGAGAAGCAAGGCAGCTTCTACGCGCTTTGTGCTTCTTTTTTTACATTTCATATAATATAATTTTTTAAAAAAGCTATAGTATTTTTTTCTGTGTGCATGTAAATAAAATAATGCTTAGTAGTAAACCGCACTCTACTGTTGTAACTGCGCTTGTTGTGCTGACTTTCTTCTTTGAAGGTCCTCTGAGCTGACCACCATCCATTCTGGCGAGGGTGCAGTTCTGTGGCTTCGCAGCGTGGCGAGGGTAAAGTCGGCCGTCCGTGCAACCAAAGCGTTTAGGATGGGCCTTCAGAACGTTCGCACTAGCCAGCCAGTAAAGAGGTTTTTCTACTAAACGAATATCGTTTTACTTTGGTTGATGACGAATATATTATTTTTTAGTAAAAGTTCTGAGTTTTGCACTCCTCTCCTTCCTTCAAGTTCTTAACTCTCGCTATTATCCTCTTAAAAATTTTTGCTTTTTATCAAATAAAACTCATTTTCTTCACTTTGGAACTCGCACAATACAGCGGCGCGTGTCTCTTTTTTTAAAGTTTTAGTTGATTTTCCATTATTCGTATTATGAAAATTTTTAGTTATCACCCTTTCGTTTATGTGTAAAAAAAATTGTAAGAACAATGATGTGGTCTATCTCTTGATTTTTAATTTAATTAATTCGTCCTTGGAAAAAAATTGTTTTTAATTTTATGGTTACTGTACCAATGTATACTGAGGAGGAGGGAGGAAAGGAAGGATTGTCTTATGACGCGAATGCTATTGTTTTCTTTAAGCCTTCAGTATGCGCTCCATTCTAATTATCCATTTTTTATTCAAAATCATTAGAAATAATTAAATGATAATTCAATTGAGAAAAATTTATTAATACTGAAGAAGCTGTTTAAGAAATACACAATGCATTTTGCTAAAACTCTCACTGAGATTAAAATAGTTAGCGCAATTCGTGTTTTCTTTATTGATTCACGAACAGTTTATGGTAATAACATATTGGTGGTTAGTAACTTTTTTTTTAAACAATGTTAGTATCTTATAACAACATACATAATCAATGGGTGTATATGTAGCTGATAGCAGCGCTGTATTAAATAAAAATGCAGTGTGTGCTCACCACTTCCCAAACAATAAAATTGATAATCTTGTTATAAGCCGCTAGAAATTGTTTAAGTTATATTATTCTTTTCATTGGTAAACTGTAAATAACAGTAAATTATTTGTATTTAGACATAGTTTCTTTTTACCATATGGACATTGTACCATATCGTTTATAAAATTTGAAGAAAATTAAAAATAAAAGATAATAAGCTTGTAGTCAGAGGCAAAGTGGCTAACAGAATTTTTATTATAATAGAAAAACTATGTGACTCATACCTTTTCCCTATCACTTAGCAGCAAAAACTTACTGGAAACAAGTTTTTTAAGATAATATATTTGTGACCCCTGTAAATTATATATTTTTACTTAAAGAATTATATGTGTAAAAAGAACTATAAATAGTAAGAAATCTTTACTATTTTAATGTCTAGTTTCTTAGGGTTTAAATTTAAGTTTGAGAGATCTGTCGAAATTGTGTATCCATTTAACGAACTAAATGCATTGGGTGTGAGGCGCCCTCTTTTAAAGTTGGGGGACACTTTAACCCTAATAATCATATTTTATTTTCCTACTCTTTAACTCTAGAGTTTCTTTTGCTTAAAAATTCATATAATCGAATCAGCTTTATTGTTAAACTTTACTTTTTTTAACTTGAAGATATGGACGCAGAGTAAAAAAAGAAACATACTATATATTCTTTTGCAGCAGACAATATTCAAGTTCACAGAAGAGAGCTTGAAGAATGGAAGTTAATATTGAATTAGTTCGTAGTGTGACTCCTTAAAAATATGTCGCTTTCTTTATTACGCATGCTTTTCTACCTAACAAATGACAGTCTGTTGGGATGGTCGGCATATATAGTATCAGTGGTCAGCACCCTTATTTTAACCCATCCGGCCAGAGACTAGACCATCCAAATGATTACAATTACTAACATTGGTTCAATCATGTGCAGTTAGCTAATTTTTTTAAGGGTTTCTGACCATCGGTGTAGGTAGTTTTGCTGTGCAAAGGTTGATGGTATTTTTAGAAGACTTTCTTTTTATAGTAAACTCTTTGTACAACTGCTTTATTAAAAAAACTCTTAAGAGATTCTCTTTTCTTAATTTCCTTAAAAGGGGCGTAGTGAAAAATTCTTAGAGCTACAAAACAGTTATAACTCAGATGAGCTTAATTATAAGTATAGATAGATTTAAACACTTAATCATAATGCTACTTTAACGAAATTACATAAACTCAAAAAACCTTTTAACTATTAATAATCCCTTAAAATTGAATTAATTTTAGATAAGCAACTTCAGTCAATGAAAAAAGCTTGTTATATAGTTAAGTAAAAAAATAATTAATGATTGTTTTCAAGCTGGCCAATTTTTTTCTTTAGTCGAGTGGTAGAGCAGTGGTCTGCTTTGCGCGTTTTGTAGCGTCGCTGGACTAGTAAAAATAATACAGTTTCTGTGCTAAATAATTTTAATTATGCATCCTCACTGTTTTAGATAGTGTCTTACAAACTCAACAGATATGCCAAACATAAATAAACATAATTTTTTGTAATGTGGTAGGAACAGGTTATTTTACACTTAGAAATATTGGCATTTTATTGTAAAGGGTATAAATGCAGATAAAAAACCAAACAATAAAGGCTTTTCTTGGGAAAGATTAACAAACAAAGACAAAAAAATTTAATGTTATAGATCTAGTAGGTTACAAGCGTTAAACGTTACCACAACTACTAACTTGAACGCTGTTGTGATTCTGTCGTTAATAACCCTTACTGGTCTACCTAGACGCACATATTTGTATCATCGTATATACCTCGAACTGACGGAGACACACAGCGGTGTTTGATGCCCTCTTTGTGACGTTTCGGTTTTTTTTTCGTTTTAGTCTTGCCCAGGGTTTCTGTTTTGGGTGAATGTTAGTAAATAAGCTACACTCCTTTGTCGTCCGTGTAAGACAACTTCATAGCCCAAGACCATTTGGACTATAGCATTATAGGAAAAATCCCTTTAAGCTTTTAAATATCATATTTTAGCAAACTGCTTAAACTAGTGCATTTTCTAAATTACCCAAGTTACCCATAATATATCATAGATTTTTACGCTCAAAAAGATATTTAACGTACACAATCTAAAATTTAAGCTCTGATTCTATTACCTTCTTCACAGTAAAGCGCCTTTCGCTTAGTACTTCTCTAAGTTCCTTTTTTCTTTTTCTGTTTTCAGTTCCTAAGTTCCAAACCTATTTCAAGCGGCCTGTGCACAGCTTTAACTTAGTTGTGTGTTCTAATCCACTTTTTTTTCTAAAAAACTTAGTTACGTCTTGCTTGCTCTTAGCTCTAAATAGTTTTATATAGATTTCCACTGTGAGCGCTTGCAAACCTTTAATATTAGAGTCGTATACCTATTGAGACAAAAACCTAACTGTTAACTTAAACCATCTTTTGCTAAAAAGCCGATGGAGCTTTCTATATTTATATAAAATTTCCTGACTTGAGTTATACGGGGGCCTCAACTTCAATAAAAATTTATGTTTATTTAAAAACCCTTTCTTGCATTTTACCATTGTGATATAATAAATAAGCTGTTAGACTTTCATCCTAGGACCAAGTACTTAATATGTTACTTTTTTCTTTTACAGCTGTTATTTTAATAGCCAAGGCGGTGCCTTACGCACCAGCTTGTTGCCTACCTTTATTAACACGGAGAAAATAGTTGCATATAAATAAGCTAATAATTAATATACGTATAACATTGCGTAATACTTTTAAATTTTATTTATCTGTCGTTTTACGTGTCGAGTAAAACCGGAGGAGGGCTTAAGTTCTGTGCAGTTATGTCTTATTTGAGGCTTGCTATCCGACGAAAAGGGTACACCAAGCGACACAAAGCTTTTCACTGCTGCTATACTTTTATATATCCTCGTTTAAGTCATCTAAATGACAGTAGTTACGGATATAACTGGAAACGATGGACCGTTTTTTTATTCAGTTTTAGCACAAAGACCGACAGCGGTAGACTTTTTAGCAGTGGGAAACTTTACTCATCCTTCAGTTCGAAATCTGTAAGCACATATAAATTTTTGTTTCTTTCAAACTTAGTGTTTCTCTCTTTTTTTTTTGTTTTTCTTTAAACTTTTATAATTTGTTATAGAATTTTGGCAAAGTCATCTTTTTTAGAAATTCGGGAAATAACCGCTCAAGGTAAATACATAAAATAAGAATTATTGCCGATATTATAAGTATCTGAAGGTTTATTGACTTTGTCAACTGAAAAATCTTATTAGTTTATTTCAATGACTTAAGTTCTCTACGTATACACTTTTAGTTAGTTAGTTTAGTTCTACTAAAGTAGAACTTAAGCCTATTTAATCTTATAATAATTTTTTTTGTTTGTCAACTTACTTTCTTCTCTATTATAAAGGTTTAGTTTTTACTTTTTGTAATATTCCTGTTAACTTTATTTTCTTTGTTATAAATTTTTTTTTAAAAGAACTCAGGTTGTTACAGTTTTCCATACTATTGATTTCGTGTAAAGTTTTTTTTTAAGCAAGACACTTTCAAACATTTAATTTCCCCGAAGTGAAGTTTATTAATAGATTTCTAAACATACTTTTGAAGGTCTACTGCCTTATTATGAAGTCCCTATTTATGGGAAAATAGCGGCTATCTTTTTATTCAGACCCGACGTATATAATTCTAAATAATCTTTAGGTTTTATAGCATTGACTTTATATTTCGTTAAGCAGAATTTTCAAAAAGATCTTCTTTTTATTATTACTGAACGTTATGATTTTTGCGTGCTCAAGTACAGTTCATCTACAAAAGAGTTGATCACAGTCTCTTCAGGAAGCGCACAGGTTAAGCGAAATATAATAAGAAAATATATTAACGTTTTTTTAAATTGTTTTTAATAAAACTTTTCGATAAATTTTTATAATTACAAAATAAAAACTTTAAAAATATAAATAACCAATTTTACAAAAGATAAAGTTTATATAATATTTAGTTATAATAAGAATTTCAAAAAAATTAAGAAAATAAGGGAGTCCAAGTGTTTATCTCTCTTCAGCGGGAGTCCGTCATCCTTGAATTTATTTATATAATAATAAAGTTTAAAAGTTGTATATATCACTTTTGTAAAAGTGGGTATGACTTTCTGGATTTTTATAGTGTGTTTCACTTTTTAGCGTATTGGGAAAATTTGTAAAGCGATAATAGTTGATTTGATCTGTAGGACTGCGTTGGTTATCCTGCTGATTGTGGCGTTCTTGCCGCTGTTGATCCCTTCTGTCGCATGATCTGTTTACATATTTATAACGGCGTTTTAAAGGTAAACTACTCTACTTGCAACCTATTTATATTTTAAGTTGATTTTGTAGATTCTTCCTACGAATGCCTCCACTGGGCAGTTAAGCGAAGCGTATAATGTCAGGTTTGCTGGCTGTCTACGGTGCTTGGTGGTGCACAGACGCCACTGAGCTATTCTTTGTAGGCTCGATGTCCCCAATGTTTTGGATATAAAGTTTTCCTATGCATCAACAAAGCCAACGATTATTGTAATGCGTTTATATAACTTTCCACTTTCCCCCTTTTTATGTTATTTAATAAAATTAGGTTCTATACCGAGACTTTCTTGGGCGAACTAACGTGGCTACTTATGAGGTTTTTTTTTAATTCTATTATTTTTATTTTCTAAGCAAAAAGTAGGTAGACGTTCGAGAAAAAGATCTAACCCCTGGGCCGTGGGAACACAGCGATGTCGAAGACGGTGCAGCCATCTTAATTCCCGTTCCTCCGCCTGTATGTATATGTCGTTTGACTTTTTTTTGGTTGCTATAAGGAAGTATATCAGTTTCTTTTACTTAATATTATATTTTAATAACCTGCTAAAGGCTAATTGTTAATAGTTGAAGGGTTGCTTGATACTAGGAGAGCAGCTGATCACGCACCACAAAGACAGGCAAGGTTGGCCGCTCCCTCTACCAGCTTACACTTCACTCTCCTGATCTTTCCTACTATAAAGGACGCTTTAATAGCGCAGCCGTGAATAGCACCTACATGAAATGCTACTGCCAGGTGGACGCCGATGGCCATCGCTACCTGCTCTCCGATTATTTGGGTTCTTTTTTTTTGTCACTCTGTTCGTTTATGTCATTCTTTTCAAAAGGTCGGATGTATGTCGTCAAGTTGTTCGAAAACGAAATCAAAGTAGAACTTTTAGGAAAAGTACGCCTTTTTTTTCCCGTATTTTTTTTGCCGGACTTCTGCATTTTATTATGGAATGCAGACATCGTCGCCGTCTGCCATAAGCTACCTTGATAATGGTTATGTTTACGTGGGAAGTAAAATGGGCGACTCCTGGTTAGTGAAACTCGAAAACAAAAGGAGTACACTAACTTCTTGCGCCTTCACGAATATGTTGCGTTATATTCCTTTTGGTTTAGACGAACATAATAGTTTTCTAACGATCGTTGCGAAGGAAGGCAACCTGGGGCCCATCGTCGACTTCTGTGCCCTGGACTACGACGGCCTCGGTCAAGGTCTTGCTTCCACGCCTGTTCCTTTTATGCACGTATCATACCTCGGCACCACCAGACCAGATTGTCACGTGCTCCGGGGGCGACGCGGACGGCTCCCTAAAAATAATGCTCAACAGTTTGGGAGTACACCACATGGCCGCACTCCGACTTGACGGCCTCACTGGTCTCAACTCGACTACTGGTGATCTACATTCTTTACTCTTGTCACCTTCCGGATCGACAGACTTGTGGGCGATAAAGCGACAGTCTGCTTTATATGACGACCTTCTGTGCCTGAATTTTACTAGCCGGACAGCCATCTTGTCTATTACTGGGGAATTTGAAGGTCTCTGCAGCCCTCCTTCGAGAAATTTGTTATAATTATTTTTTTCCTGCAGAGCTGAGCCCTGAGAGCGTTCCCGGTTTTCTCTGTACCGTAACTTCTCTTTACTGTGGCGCAATTGTAGGGAACAGAATGCTGCAGGTTTTATTTCATATCGGAACCATAAAAATAGCATTTTGTTTTGTCCCAATTAGGTGACCGAGAGGTCAGCAAGAGTCATTGGTCCTCAGTTCGAGCTCATCCGCGAGTGGACGCCTGAAGACGGTCGTACTGTTTTGTTCATTACGCCTGCTCCATGTGTATCGATTCTATCAACGGTAGAAAGCCGTATCACTAAAGTAGCATGTAACGGCCGCGAGCTTGTTCTGGTTTTGGGAAGGAGGCTGGTTCATCTCAACTTGGAGACGTGGCAGTCAAAGTATATTCTATTATTAATAACTGGATAATAATAGTCACTTTCTTTCGCCCACAGAAGCGCGGACTGCGAGCATGAGGTGGCCTGCGTATCTGTACGTGCTGTGAGTGAAGGCGATACTTGCTTAGAATACTGCGCCGTTGGCCTTTGGGAGGAGGCCTGCGTTGTAGTTTACAAACTGCCGGAGTTGAGCGTGCTAACCAAGAGAAGCATTGGAGGAGGTCCCCTTTTCTTATGAGAGTGTAAATTGGCCCAATGACAGTTCCCGGCAGATTACATCGCCCGGGCGCTCCTCATCGCCCGCTATGGAGAGCACGATTTTCTCTTTTGTGCGTTGGGCGACGGCACTATGATTTACTACAAGTTCCATGTACAAGATGAAATCCTGAAAGGGGACCAAGTAGACTTAAAAACGTAATAACCCTTCCTAGGGAAAAGAGCTGAACTGCGAAAGGCAGTTTTATATAGGGACGCGCCCGGTGAAGCTTACGCCTTTTCTTTCGGGAAACCGCGAGGTGCTTGTTATAAGGGTTTGTGATTTGAGATCCTCCTTTTATCCTGAGCCAGTGCGTGTTTGTCTCTTCGGACAGGCCGACAGTCATTTTCAGTATGAACGCCAAGATTGTTTGTTCAGTGGTCAATTTGAAGGTTACCGCTCTTATCAGGTTAAATTGGCTTTTATTTAAGGCCTTTACTACACTCCAAGGATGTTCGTCACATGTGCCCAGTCACCACGCCACTGTTCCCCAATTGCCTGGCGTTATGGTCTTTCGCTTGCCCTTATTTTTAGGAACGTTCGTTAGCCCTTCTGTAGCACTGAAGGGGTCCTTAGTATCAGTACAATCGATAGCGCTCAGAAGCTGCACATTCAGTCGCTTTTTTTGGGTTTTGCGTTTTAGTTAACTATACTTTCCTTTATATTTACGCTACCTCCAAGGAGAAATGCCTCGCCGTCTGGCCCATATGAAGGAGTCAGGGACCTTTGCTGTGTTGACTACTCGTGAAGAGCTTCGCAACGACAAACAACTTACTGAGAGACATTTTGTGAAACTTTTTGATGATCAACTATTTCAAAGTATGTGAGTGTACTTCGGCGGGAACTTGTTTTCATTCAAATTATATAGTGACTTCTTGCTATGAGCTGGACGACAACGAGCATGGTTGTAGTATAGTGTGTATGCATCTTGAGGAGGTAAGCCCATAGAAAAATAATGGTCGTAAACCCTCACCCTCTCTTTGAAAGATTGGTATACGTGCCGTGTATGTTGTCGGAACTGCTATTCCCCTCCCGGCGGATCAAGAGCCCCAATCCGGCCGCTTGCTAGTGTTTGCGGTGGAAGATGGTTACCCTTCTGCCAATCATCCGCCAGCTAAACAGTAGCTAATCGTAGTTTTGTAACAAGACAAGCTTCATTTGATTTCCGCATATGCTGTGTCCGGAGCGGTTTACTGCCTTTCATATTACAAAGGCCTTCTTGTTGCTGGGATCAACGGAACTGTATTGCTCTTTTTACTTGCTTGCATGGTATGAAATTTATAAAAGGCAGGTTTCAATGTTTAGCTTTGAGAACACTACGGACAAAGGTTGGGCATTCTTTGTGCAGCGATGTGTGAATAGTAAGCCAAAGACATTACGAAAGGGCTTGTGATGAAACAGGAAGAGGCGCATTCCAAGCAAGTCGTTGTGTTAAGCTTGAAAGCCAAGAACGAATATTTTCTTGTGGGAAATCTGTTTCGCTCGTTGAGTTTGCTTAAATACAACGATCTTACCAACTCCCTTGAAGTATATAATAACTGAAAGAAACATTCTAATCAACGCTCTGGTATTATTTTTTATCAATTAGCAAGTTGCCCAGGACCCCGAGAGCAAAGTCACCACTGCCGTGGAGATTGTGGACGACAACTGCTTTATAGGTCCCCCTTACTTTTGTTTATGTCAGCGAATGAATGTGAACTTTACCACTGCAGGCGCTGAACACTGTTACAATTTCTACGTTATGAAACGGACTGAAAGTTACTTCTTTAAGCGATGTTCGGGCCTACTCATTTCCTTTATATTCCTGCCAGAACAAAGCGATTCAGAAGCTGTCGACTCCCTCATTCCCTGCGGAGAGTTTCACATAGGCGAGTATGTCAACCAGATCCGGCCGGGTTGCGTTCCTTGGCATAGGACTCATAGAACTAAACCTACTTTCCTTCTCTTTTACTATTTAGGTTGCCTTATTATCAGAGATCTACATGATGCTGAGGGGTCCGCACGTCCTCTGTTAGTCTACTGCTGCGTGTCCGGAGCTGTGGTTACTGTTTTTATCAAAAAGTTTATATTCAAGTAGTGGACATGAATATAACTTTAAGGGCATCCTCGCGCTTTTAAATCGTGATCAATTTGCATTTTTACTTCAGCTCCAGCAAAATATCAACCAAGTAGTAAAAGGTGTCGGCGGCTTTAGTCACGCAAAGTATACTAGCCTCTTTCCCTCACCTTCTCGCTATATAATATTTATTTGTGACACAAAAGATGGCGGTCGTTTTCAAATAGCCGACGGGAGTGCGAGTCTTCCAACTTTATAGATGGCGACTTGGTAGAATCGGTACTGAGTTTGGGAGACGATCTACTGGAAAAGGTGTGGAATCCGATGCAGAGAAGTAAGTCACGTTAATAGGCTTTCTTGGTAGATTTGCAAGGGCTTGTACAAGTCCGAGGGCGGCGAGCGACACCAGGTCAACAAGAAAGAACTACTGAGAATTGTGGGAGAGCTGTCGAGAATTCACTGAGCGCCGCCGATGTACAGCATAAACTTTTTTTATGGAAAAAAAATAAAGATGAAAGCTCGTCTGTTTATTTGTGCAGCACAGTACGCCTTAAAAAAATATATATATATTTTTGTCTAAGTAAGAGGGAGTCATGAGGGAGTCACGCTTTTTTCACTATCTGTACGACGTCGTCGGGGTGTAGCACGTGGTGGAGCCCGACGCGTTGAGGCGAGAACTTTGTGGACGTGCCCCTGCAATGCCCAAATTACCCGTCCGCAATTAACAATATCCTAGACGCGCTAGTACCAAACTAAAGCGTAACTGAAGCTGGACACCAAGTTCCTGTGTATTTTGCTACACTACTAACGATAGATCAAAAGCCCAGTAGCGACAACAGCAAAGAGATAGTTAATACGACAGTCGCCACTGTAGATCCAGTTCGAAGCACGAAACCATTCTTGAGGTCCGGAAATTCTCCTACTTTCATTAGTTGACTAAAAACAAGTATATGATCTAATAACGAGTACCTCTTTTTTTCGTATATATCTTAATAAGCTTAAGACTTTGCCAAATCTTTTCTACTAAACGATCGAGGTTGAGACCCCAACTACAACTAATATATTCGGGCCAAATAAAAAATTGAGTTGAGAGAATGCGTTCCGGCCAGCAACGTAAGTACTCACGCACCTAATTACGATGGAAAAAGGACGGCGAGCTAAAGCGTCGATCTCCTCGATAGTCAAACAGTCGATCTTGTTGTAGCACTTGTGATAAACTCGTTAGAGACATTATAAGGAGCAACAAGAAAGCCACTAACATAAAGACAGTGCAAGTACTTTCGCTTGCCAAGCACAACATCAATAAAGTCGTCTGCGCGTATATATATGTATATATATATAAGAAAGTTCTAATAAAAACTCGGTGAACGCCGAGCCTGCCACAAAAGCCCCAGCGCTACACATCCGACTACTTATTATAAGGTATGTCGGATAAAAGTTTCCTATATTAAGAAAGTTTATAGCCTTTATCATAAATAAAATAGTACAAAATTTATATTAACGCACTTCACAAAAACTTGTAAACAGTAAGATGAGCACACGCGACTTTCTTAGTTTGCAAAAAAGGGGAATTGTAAACAAAGAATTATTAAGATTATTTACATAAACATTTAAGGAGCTTTACATATTAAATAGGTTTTTAGTTAACTTTGGAACAAAATTAAAAAACGATTAAATTATCTGATTAAGCCAAATTAGCAAAAATTTAACTGCAACAATATAGCTTTTCTACATGTTATTAAAGCTTTTAAATAATTTTTTTTACTCTTGAATACGTGATAAAACTACATAAATAAGAGTAACAAATTTAAATTGTAACTTTAAGCTAGAAAAGTTACTATAACTATTTTTAGTAACAACGAGCGCAAAAGTTCCGTGGCGGACTGTAAATAAAAAGGCGCTAAGACTAAAAATATTTAACCAACAGAGGCGTCTTCACGAAAAATAACGTCCGCGTTATAAATTTCTATACAAAAGAAGTAAAAGCGAGAGTATCAGCAATAGAAAGAGTCTTAACGCACTGTATTCCTTCAGAACTCGCTCTACAAGCTTTTCGTCTATCATAGTCAACTTTACTGTAGAGGAAAAGTTAATTCCGCCAGAAGATCTTAACTATACTTATAAAATTGAATTATAAAAAAAAAAACTTAAAAAAGGTTATAAAGAAGCGAGTCTAGTAGATTGAGTTAGCTAATAGATAGTCCATCGAAAATGGAAGGTTAGCAGAGGTCAATATATATATATATGGCACACCGTAAAACTGATATTTGGAGGAACTCTATTAAGGCGAATTCCCATCGAGCTCAACTCTTGAGTAATTTTATCTCTATACAAAAAGTAAATTAATAATAACAGTTTATAACGCGCTGCATTCGCGGAGACAACTTTTGTTCTTCAAATCTGCTGGCGTCCAAAACCATTAGTATCAAGTCGGCCGTTCTCGCTGCCGCGATGACTTGTCTACCCCGCCCGGCCCCTTGCAGAGGAAAATTTAAATTTAAATTACTTGTAATTGATAAGGTTGATAAAAAAAAGTTTTTACCTTGCGCGGCTCCTTCAATAATACCAGGCAAGTCAAGCAACTGAATTTCAGCGCCCTTGTACTTTCAAAAATAAATTAAGAAAGGTGGTAAGGATTTAACAAATTTTGGGAGAAAGTTTTAAAAATTACCTTTATTACTCCCGGAATACAAGTTAAGGTGGTAAACTCATAATTAGCACAAAGGCTTTCAGTATCTGTTAGAGAATTAAGTAGAGTAGATTTCCCCACTGAGGGGAACCCAATCAGTGCAACTCGCGCATCACCGCTTTTCAGTACTTCAAAACCTTCGCCCTTTTTATAGAATTTTTGTTTGTAAAGGAAATTAAAAAAAAACTCTTAAAAAGAACCTTTGGACCTTGTGTGGAGGGTTCCAAAAGTTCTGCTCGTAACTTGGCTAGCTTAGCTTTAATAGTTCCCTTATAGTAAACAAAATTATAGCTGTCAACCACGCATTGCTGCCTAAGTAAAAACCAGGTGATACTCGGTAGCCTTGTTTTTCTGTGTACGAGCATATTCAAATTCCAAATCAGCAATTTTTTCTTGTATTCCCATTTTTTCTCTTAAGAGAGATCGCACAGGTGAGCACACACCTTAGTTATAAATTCAAAACTTCCGTGTAAGGCCCTAGTGAACCCTTTTCTTTCCAGCGAAATTTCCTTGATGAATCGTATGCGGCCCTGCACAATTTTTTTAGCTTTGTATGTTTTTCCTAATAGACCACTTCGGGGCTATAAAGCCTTAAAGTACGTTGACTCGCCTGTAGAAATTTTTTCCGTGTTTTATCGTTATTGCTGATAATATTGCTTTGTCTAAAAATTGACAGCATTTTTTCAGTAATAATTATTTCGAAAAACAATGTAAAATGGTAATTAAATATTGATTAAAATATATCTTTTACAGCCCTTATGCCTTTTACTTAGATCTAAGGTTATAATTTTTATGTAAGAGCTTTCTAATTGACAAGTTACTATAACAAGCCTTGTAGTTTTTGAACAGCTCTGGTTAATAACTGTTATCTTTTAATATTTTTATGGCATATGTGGCGTGCACTTTTTTATCTTTCATTTTGAGTGCGAAATACATATTTTCGAACTCCCTAGCTAGAGCTGCGTCCACAGTTATGTAAGCAACAGCTATCAGTGAAAAATCAAATTTTTGAAGTGTATATGTGCTTCCTGTAAGGTATTGAAGTGCTGTTGACTCATATGTGACGTGGCACTTTCTAGCCTTGTACCTCCCCCCCACTTCCTTTGTGAGAGTATAGATTGCTTTATGTCCCTACGCTGTCATCATAAAATGCCTAAAAAGATAGTCTCTATAATAAAATTCGACGTTGCTGGTTCCCTGTAGTCTTGGTGGGCTAACTCCCCCGATGACGTGGATCTGGGGCTAATTGCCATCCTATCTACATTCAGTACCGTCCCGAAAGAACTTTGGGTATCTATTAATCCTCTACGCTTAATGGGGTCATTGAGCTTGAGCTGAATTTCAAGAAGGAAGCTATTTCTCATCACTCATACTCACCACCTACTTAGCTCTCCAAGGCCCAAATGAACTTCCCAAGCTTTGAGCGGCAACTAATCACAATAATCGCCCCCAGCGGGTTACTAAACCGTACAACGTCATCATGCGAAGTTGGATGTCGGTCGTTAAAGAGTACCTATGGGAGGCCTCTCGAATTTACTATAGGTCCTTATTTAATTGGCACGTACGATGCTTAAATGCCACGAAAATGATACTCGCAGGAAATTTACAGTGAGTCCACTTGGGTGAATGTTAGGCCGAAGTCAGTCCAAATTCAATGCTGACTGGACACCTAACCAATACAGTTGCCTCTGAAAGGCCTTTTAACTTCGACGGATGCGCCTAGGTTTCTGTGTTAAGAGAAACGCATCCAAGCATGATCGCTGCAATCTTGCTCGTTTTAGTCTATATATAATGGCATATAAGCCTACATAGCGTTGGTCAAAGAGAGACTCTATAAACGCTAGATGAGCGTTTGATGTCGTCTTATACATGATTTCGACACCTTATTTATAGGTTGAAAAATACTAATTTTCGAATGTTGTATAGACCTACTAACTAGTAAAAATTACAGAACGATGTTGGTAGGGCACTGGAACACAGTTGGATATCAGTATCCCTGCAGGTAAAAAGTTTTACTATTTTAATGACTTTACAGCCCCCACTGGGAGGCTCATAGTAACTCCAGATGATATCTCTGTACCTCTCTGCTAACCTTAATGAATTCAACACAACGCCCTCAAAGCCGGTTAGAGTGAAAAGAGCATTCAAGATTGTTTCTAGTTTAACTATGTTGAGCTTTCAATATAAGGACCTCCTTCTAATGAACAAGGTTCAGACTAGGATAAACGTATCTATTTTGAATATATAATTCAGTCAAGTGGCCCCTTTTTCAATGCCAAATATTGCTCTCCATTTTAACCTAAGGTTAGTGTACTAGTATTCAATATATTTTGGTAATTTGGAGGATTTAGTCTTTAGCAGCTTATCTTAAGGTTACAGTACAACTCAGTTCCGGTTTAGGAGAAAGAGCTAACCGCCTTAGATGGAGGACCATATCTTGTATAATTTTAGAAGAGCCTCTCTAATCCTTGCTAGTCAAAGTGTACGTAAAGTTCTCGGTCACGATACTATCGTGAATTATCTTCTTGGAGTTAACCGTATAACTTTAAGATTGTGGTAAACGCTTAGGTTCACAGGAGGGCTTAGATTAATCCATCTACTAAGATAATAGGGCCATTGGAAGATCGTCTCGATAGGGCATTCCGACAAGTTAGCATAATGGTAAAATAAAAATTTTAATGTAAAACCTAGCTGGCTAGCATTCTCTATCAGTGCAATTTCTTAAAAAACAAGGTATTTTGGGAGTACAGGAAGTAAGTCCTACTACTTGAGGACAGATGAAAGGTTACTTCAGCCAAGAATTGAATTGGTAACGCCAAAGCAAAGTAAGCTATATTGCGATTAATAATAGAATTTTAGTTTAAATCTTTTGTATATGTTTTACATTACAATTTTATTTCCTAAGTCGATCCTTAATTAGCTCCAAGTAAAACCAGCATAGACTGCTGGGGGTAATGGTAAAACTGTTCTTAATATTGGTAAAGCTGTCTTGAGTAGCACTGTTTATAAGTTGGAAAGGTTGAAAGCTTCAAAGTGTTTTATTTAGTTACTAAGAAAAAATTTAGTAAGATTTTTATTAGTGTGTACTAACATTTTTTACGCCTGGTTCTAGACACCCCTTGTTTTATTCTTATATTACTAGTACCTTGAGAGGAATGAAAGAGTTTGTTGTCTCCCTCTATATTTATAAAATAAACCTAAAGCAGTCACTTTTAAAATGCTGGGGTTCTACTTTAGTAGAACAAAATAACTTACTATCACTCTAGAAACGACAGTTAATGAAAAAGTTCTACTAAAGTAGAACGAAACCTAGCCCCTCTCACCTTCCCCAGTCAGAAAGAAAAAAAATTTTTTTTTCTCTTCTTGAACTATTCCATACCTTTTGGTTGATGGTTTACCATGGTAATTTTTTAAAAATGATTGGAAAGTCTACACTAGATTTCCAACAGGATAAATTTATATTAAAGTTCCCGAGGCATAGCCTAGCGATCGTCCAGCGATAAAAAGAGTGAAGTTAATCTCGTTCCCCCCTCTTTCCCCCCCCTATTTTGTTCTACTAAAGTAGAAATTTTGAAAGTAACTTTAATTGTCTCAGCCTCTTTAACCTCTCTCCCAATGGTCTGCTTTTACAACTCAGAGAGAGACCGAGTTTTAGCATCTTTTTATGAAGGGAGGAGACTTAAACCTTCGAGCTTTAAGAAGAAGTTTACATCCTAGTAGTTCGATGAGACAATGAAAAAGAGTCTTCTCCTTTTTCCAGGTGAGAGAACAGAACTTGAATAATCCCTCTCATTTATAGAATTAGCGATCTTGGGCTAAGAAGAAATCCTGGTTATCTTTTTACTACTTGCCCTGTACTCGGGTAACTAACTTTAGATCTCCCTTAACAAGCGCCAAGCTGATAATTAATTCTAATAATAACGCTAATAGTTAAAATAAAGAGAGAAATATTTATACTTTACATTGAGCCATAGATTGAGGGAGGTTTGTAATCGTGCTGGTAAAATCTTGTATTCTGGGGCTTCTCAAGCTAAGGGTATATTATTTTATCTCTATCTTTTCTCTGTTTTAGCTAAGAGGCTTGCATGTCATAATGAGTAATACAAAACAACACTATTGGCATTGGTTTTAGATGCTAAAATTCGTTGAAACCTGGTTTGATAACTAACTCTCTGGAGTAGGGCCAACTGCACTAAACTTTAGTTCTTTCTTTTAACCGCGCGGAATTGTTCGTCTCGTTATTTTCGAACGATGATCTTCGTTATTTGTATGTATACCTTTTTAACTACCTTTAACGTATTGATTTTTATCATTTAGAGTTAACATTCAGCAGTTCTACTCTAAGGTATTCTCCCTCGAGGTGCTTGTAGGTGTCGTTGGCTTTAAAGTATATGCGCTTTTGAGCTTTCTATCTTTTCGTAAGGCACCACAGTCATTTTGCCTCTTTGGGGTTAATTTTTAAATGGTCTTCCTTGGGCATTACCTAATGAAGTTTTAGCTGCAATAAGAGACCTAGGTTTTCAATTTTGAGATATAGTATTTTATTAGTAGTAGTATGATGCTCGTGTTAGTGCTCCATTCTACTACGTACCATCTTTAGCAGAGCAAACAGTCATATCGACGCTCGAACCTCTCCTCGCCTCACTTATCGAATAAATTTTTTTAGTTAACATAAAGAATCCTAGTTAACTAATAGCTAACTTAGTCTTCCAATATATATGTTAGATATCTAACCAAGATGATGAATAAGTTTTACGTTATTTCATTCATTCCATTTCTTTTGACCCATGCTATTGCTTCGTGCTGTCTTCACAGTAGTATGTTAGTTTATCTATAAATAGAATTAGTGGAAAGAGAAGCGGCCCCTCATTCTATTTAAGTAACAATTATTATTTACCTTGCTAGGAAACAGTACTATAATTACAATAATTAAGGTATTGAATACACATCTATAAGAGCATGCTCTTGCACGCTCTTGCTATTTGTTACTTCAAGCGCATGTGTGCAGACAACCTTCGTTGGGCTATAATAACAATGATGTAGGCTTTTTGGCCGTCATGAAAAAATCTTGTTAGACAACTGTGTAGGTTGGGCTACGCATGGTAGCGCTCTGTTCTTGATGGAGTATTTAACTGTTAGCTTTCATCAATGAAGTATACCCTTTATTAAAGCAAGGATTGTTCTTCGTCCCTAGCTAAATTTCGTGAAGTGGCCGAACAAGGTCGGCCCTATAGTAAAATGCGAAGTCCGACTTCCCTTGTAGCCTTGATCGGGTGACCTCAGACTTCGCAAGATTAAGGAAGTTCCGGTTCAATTGCCATCCGAGGGGAGGTTAAACGTTTAATGTCGTCGTAATGGAACCTGGTGAGTCTAGTAATACTCTGTGATGATTGTGATCCTTTCGC